CCTGTCCTTACAACCTCACCAGGTACCTTGCTCCTTCTACAAAATAGGAAGATTCAGCTATTAAACCCTAAAGTCAGAAAACCATCATGTTAGGAACAGTTGAAGCGATGATGCTTGGTGGCATTGTGTTTCTCCTAAATTCTATTCTAAACCCCTGTAGTTGGGTCACCCAGGCTCTCACTGCTGTGCTTTCCAGTGTCCTTTATTGTGTTACATCTGGCTGCTTCATAAATTTACCTGCCTGGCTCCAGGAAACGTTTGGATTTGACGCAGCCAGCCCTCCTGAGGGTTCCCAGGTTTCTAGGCTGGGCTTTGTCCCTTAGGCCCACCCCTCCTATCCTGGATGCCTTCACACAGTCAGCCATTCAGACCTCATGGCTTTTGCTGTACCCTGGGTCAACACTTGAGTCTGCTTTCTCTTATTTCACACATACAGTTTGAGATAGCCTTTTCATGACATCCCCAAGTACTGCCTCGTCCTCACCCCAATATTAGTTTCAATACTCACTTGCTTGTACATCTGGGAGAAAGGGTTAGCAAGAAACACCTTATCAAAAGTTGTGGTTTCACAGTAAATGAGTAAATGTGGTTTCACCAGTTTTGGAGGTTGGTCTTTATATAGTGTTGCGAGTTAGCATTGACAGTATTTCTAAGAGAAAAATACGCCCCAAATTCCAAACAACTAAATTCTGAATGAATTCGATGACCCAGTTCTTTCTTAAGTTGAGAATTGTGTTGATCAAAGTCCTGATATGCAGGACAGCTCACAGACTTTGCATACATACAAACCTGAATTTAAATCCTGGCTCTACCACCTAGTAATGTGTGACTTTGGAAAAATTACCTAATCTCTTCAAAATATGTTTCTTTATCTGTAAAATGAGAAGATAATCTTGTTTATAGGGTTTGTGTAAAGATTTAGTGCAAGAATGTTCATACAGCTCCTATCATAGTGGCTAGTATATAGTAAATAAGAATTATTATAGTTGTCATAACATAAGGAAGAATTAAGATCATCTATGATATTTGTTAAACTTTAAAAGGAACTTTTTTACATAAAATTTTAATGTCTAATTAACATATTTTAATTACAGAAACCTGGAAAAAAGGGAAAACTTAAAAGGAGAAAGTAGAAACCAACCAAAATCTCACTGTTCAATGAAAACCACTTTTAATGTGCTGGTGGTTTTCCTCTTGATATTTTACTATATACTTGCATACTTTACACAACTGGAATTAAGCTAGGTATAACATTATTTTACATACAATATTTTCTTTTTTTGCCACACTGTGCAGATATGGGATCTTAATTTGCCAAAAAGGGATCAAACCCGGGACTCCCTGCATTAGAAGCAGAGTCTTAACCACTGGGCCACCAGGGAAGTCCAACGTTTTTCACTTGAAACATAATTTTTTTCCAGTAAAATTATTTACAAATTCTAGCTTTTAAGAATTTAAAATTTAAGGGAACTGTAAAACTATTCAATAATTAAATTATCCATTCCTTTAATCCTGAACATTTAGCTTATTTCCATTTTTCCACTCATGAGCAACAGTTTCATATAAAATCCTGGAAATTTAATTGTTATCTGTATTTGTGTTTATTTACCTAAAATAGTTTCCTAGAAGCATTGCAAAGTCAAAGGGTGTGCACATTTTTAGTCCTCTTGCAATCATTAACTGAACAGCCCTTCAGAAATAGTCTAACAGCTTATACTCTGGGGTGTTTTAAAGTCTATGCTCTTGCCTTCCTGCTGACTTCTGCGAGGACTCCAGGAGCTGACTCTTGCCAGGGAACAGCTGCTTTGGAGAGTGCACAGTGTTTGGCCCAATCGACACTTCAGTTTTCCTAACAGTGCCCCGAATTCCTTTCGGGGAATCATCTCTGTCCCTTGTGCAGTTTGGTGGGACATCAGCGTTGGAAGTGTCCCCTGGGCTGGAGAATGGATGCTGGTGAAGAAGCCAGCTTGGATGAGATTGCAGGGACCCTTTCCCATGCTAGATGCTAGGCTCGTCCTGCCATCTAGTGGTGGAGAAAGGGAGATGGCAGCAGGAACCAGACTTCCGGCAGACGGTGGGGAGAGCCAGATGAGTCTGCACTCCAGGAGGCATGGCAGTGCATAGCAGGTTAGGGCCTGACTCAGAGTACCCCATAGGTACCTCAGAACTCAGAGTGCTATATGAAGAAGGTGAGTGTTAGTCACTCAGTCATGGCCAACTCTGCAGCCCCATGGACTGCAGCCCGCCAGCCTCCTCTGTCCATGGAATTCTCCAGATAAGAATGCTGGAGTAGGTTGCCATTCCCTTCTCCAAGGGATCTTCCAGACCCAGGGCTCGAACCTGGATCTCCCACATTGCAGGCAGACGCTTTATCATCTGGGCCACCAGGGAAGCCCAAAGCGGGTGAGGGCAGGGATCTTTCTCAATAATAATTGCTGAGCACTGACTATCTGCCCAGGACTGTCCAAAGTGCCTTTCCCACTTTTAATCTTGTGGCCGGAGCCCAGCAGAACCTGTGAGGATGGGGGAACTGAAGCCAAATCCACACAGCTAGTCAGTGGCGCAGACAGGAGTCAAACCCAGCATTGTGTGACTTTATAGCCAACGTTTCTAGGAACATTTATAGAATCACAGATACCGCTCCCTGCACCCCTTCTGTCCCTGCACCTCCACCCTCACCCCTACCCACCCCATTCCCTGGACCACAGATGGTGGTTGCATTTCCTGTGGTGCATAGCTCATTTCTACCTGCTGTGCGTCTTGTGGGTCCCCAAGTCTCTCCTCTGAGAAACTTGGAAGGGAAGCTTTTCTCTCCGTAGGCTTAGAGATCGTAGGGGGAAAAGGGCAGGGGTGGTGGTAGAGTCCCTCATCTACTATCCACAAATGTCAAAATGTTTTAGACCAACGTTAACAGCTCTTTCCCTTTATTGATTGTGTGAGATGGAGATGCAAACAAGATCTCTAAAAGGCAGATTCGTTTCAGATCAGCCACTGTAAACTTTGCTTCTAAATCCACAAAGGGGAACTTCCCTGGTGGTCCAGTGGCTAAAACTCCACACTCCCAGTGCAGGGGACTCAGGTTCTATCACTGGTCAGGGAACTAAATCCCACATGCTGCACCTAAGAGCTTGCATGTCGCAACTAAAGATCCCAAATGCTGCAAAAAAGATCAAAGATCCTACATACTGCAACTAATATTTGGTACAGCTAAATAAACAAATATTTTAGACCCAGAATGGGTTTCGTGGGCTTTCCAGGAACAAGAGTGGGGCTGGCCCAGAGTTACGTTAGCCTTGTCCCAAAGGTTGGAAGAACCAACCTGCCACCCCAGGGGACCCACTGGCCTACAGACACTTCCACTTAGGGGATACTGAGGTTTATTTAGGAAGCAGGGGCCATTCTTCCTGCCTGGCCCACCAGATGAGTAATAAGACACCTATTTTTAGTTTAGGGCTTTGTTTTTCTTTTCCTGTTTTAGAAATTTATCCAGACCCATTTCTCAGGGTTGATAGCTTAGGCCAAATTGAGTTGATCACTTGGGGAATAAGGAGAGCGCCCTTCAGAAAGGAGCATGGTCCTCAAGGTGACTGATTTCCCCTTAAGAATCAAAATTTGTCTGCAATAACCTCCATCATTCATCCAACAAACACCACTGGATGCCTTAAGAGACAGAAAGGCTGACGTTTGGCATTGCTGAGCATCCTCTTCTGAGCCAGGTCCCCGGCCACTGCGTCCTGTCACACAGTCACCGCCACCCTGTCCTTGCTCAGCCCCATCTGCTACCTGCCCCAGAGCAGGAGGGGTCAACCCCACTCCCGGACGTGGACAACCTCTTGTGCTTTAAGTATCAGTTGCTGGTTCTCACCACTCTCTAGCCCGTGTACCTATTTATTTCCCTTTTCTTGTAACAGTATGATCAGTTAACTTTATTCACACATTTAGTCAATCAACATTTATTGATCGCCTACCATGTGCCAGGTGCTGGGGTAAAAAGGGGTCCAAGTCTCTCACAGCCGAGAGGAAGGCTAGTAAACAAGACAATTACGATATGGGATAGAAAAATGCTAAGCCAGAAACAGAAAAAGACACCATGGGGGCACTTCCATCACCTTCTTTTTCCACTTTACTACCTTTGGCCAGACATTGTCTCAAGCTCCTGGACTGTACCCATTGCAGACAGAGGCTCTGGGCTTCACTTGTCGCTAAGTAGTGACATAGCCCCCCTCTTGCCCTCACATGACACAATTCCAACCACAAACTGAAAGGGGGCCATGGCATCCTTTGGAGAGTGGACCACTCCAGCAAAAAACAGGAGGGGAGCAGGGCCTACAGATGTACCATCAGTGCCGGTGCTGAAAAGAAAGCTGGGGGATGGATAAATGAGGGGCAGGTGAATGAAAAGACGAGCAACTGAGTAACGACTCAACAGCTGATTTAACGACAATCAGAGATGAGCTTCCAACCTTGAAGCAAAACTGAATTTCCATTGCCAACACTTGTTCACTGAACACCAAGTTCCCCAGAAAACCCTCTACAAAGATTTTTAAGAAAATTAAGATCACTTAAAACCTCACGGAGAATGTGACAATGCGCTTGAAAAAACTGGAGCTGTCTAGGGGAGTTCCAGGTGTGACAGTCATACATATGTGACCAAGGTCACATATGAAGGAGAAAGCTGAGGGTCCCCCCATCCCCACTGATCTGTGAGAGGGAAGGAGCTCCAAGTTGCTCAGGCCAGAGACTTCCAAGGCAACGCGGCTGTTGGGAAGAGAGAACTACAAAGGGTGACAGGCTGGGAGCTTCTCACCTAACCTGACAGGTGTACTGTGTTTAGTAGCAGCTGGAACATTACATGTGGGTCACATTACTGCGTCAATCATCTCTGCAGTGTCCTACCACCCACCCACCCCCGCCCTGCTCCCAACCCAGGGAAGCCTTCAGGGCATAACAACTGTATTCTAAGCTATCTGTTCCATAAACATAGTTTTAGTGCTATAAAGAAGACCAGGACCTGGGAGGAATAACACCGTGTTCTCAGAGGTCTGTGTGAACAGTTTATAAGTTCTTCAAGGCTGCCTGGTTCTCTGAGATGAACTGGCTGAAGCTTTTGACTTTGGGATTCAGTCGGTGGGTGAGCTTGATGTCACGGTCTGGCTTCATTTGATAGAAACGACACATGTTGGCAATTTCCTTTGCTGCAGGGAATTTCAGCTTCTCATAAGCCTCTGGGGTGATCTTTGAAGAACAAGTTAAAAAAGAAAGAAAGAAAAGAAACAACCAGAAATGTTACAGCCCTCATTTAAAACAGTTTGAAAAGAACTTGTTCACCTTCATGATGATACAAATCCACAATTCTTTTGCCTAATCCCAAGACCCAAGAAACACTGAAGTTTTTTTCATAAGCAATTTGGCAACATACTGACTTTCCTGAACTAATTTGGGGGCAAAACCTTATCTAAATTTAAGAGAAGTTATTTATGGTCTTCATCCTGTTTAGTGGAAATTGCCCTGTCTTTCTCTGCAGAGATATTGATATGTTTGGTTATAGGGTCCTGTCCCAGCCCCTGATGGTGATGTCACATAGTGTGTGTAGACATAACCCATCTAAAAGCTGCAAGACTCTGAAAGCTGAATTATTTCTGGCCGCAAGCACTTGGGATAAGGTACCATGGATATATAGCCCCTTCATCTGACTGGTTTTCATATACATTTCCTCCTGGGATTCCTTAGCATGCCTTCAATATCTTCAGCCCATCAAGCCCTCCATCCTTCCCTCCTGATTGGAAACAAGCATCTGAACTTTAGCCATGCAGCCTCTGCCAGGGCCAGGCCCAACAAACACTGCCCGTCACATACCCACTGAGCCACCCTCTGAAAAACCCTTCTGAAAAAACACTAAGTGGATCTGCAGAGACGCCATCTGCATCAACTAAGACCATTTCTTTCTTTCTTTCTTTTTTTGGCCATGCCACATGGTATGTAGAATCTTTGTTCCCTGATCAGGGATCAAAATTTTGTCCCCTGCAGAAGCGCAGAGCCCTAACTACTGAACCACCATGGGATTCCCATTAAGAACATTTCTAACTATTGGATCCAATATAATCAGATTTTAGTCTCCAGCGATAAACTGTAACCTCACTTAGAAAACTCTAACGTCTACCTGGCCTTAGAATAATGTGACAGGTGCAAACTCATATAAAACAATGACTGTCATACCATTTATAGTAATGAAAAATCAAAAAACAATCTGCATATCCAAAAAATAGAGGAATGGGAAAATAAACTATGGTAACTATGGTACATCTACTCTAGAAATATTATGCAGTCAATATTTTTTAAAAAGTTAAATAGAAATATATGCTCAAAATTTAATGTCAAGTGAAAAAGCCAGATACAAAATGGTACATAGCATGTTGTTTTAATTTTATTACATATATACTGGAAAAAGACCAGAAGAAAATGTACAAATCTTAACAGTTACTATCTCTGATAGATTAAACAATGTGACTTTTATATTCTTTTTAAAAATAATTTTCTGTATTTTCTGCCATAAGCATTTATAATTTTTGAAATCAGAAAACATTTTTAAATTTTAGTGAGTTTGAAAATAGAACACTATCAGAGAAGCATGGAAGATGACTTCCAAAATATCTGTCCCCTTGAGTTACTCTCTCATCCTGTAACTTTGGTAACTAATATCCCTCAGGAAAATAAGGGATGCTTTCCTGCAGGTTTTTAAGAAAAGAGATTTGCTCTGTTGTGTCTCATTTTTCTGAGAGAACAGTGTTCCTTTTGGGGTTAGACAGACAGTTTCAGCCAGATCAGAGTTTCTGATGGGAGTTTATTCTGGGGAGTTCGGGAGTGGGGTTGGGGTGAGGGGGCAGTCACTGAAGCAAACAGCAACCTTCTGACCAGACAGAGAAAGTCAGACCGCCAGGGCTGGAGCGCCACCTTGTGGCCACATGCGTCCTTCCCCAGAGTACCGTACCAGCACCAGTGGCTTTAAGTCAAGCTCGTTTCTAAGAACAGCATTAACCATTCTGTAGAACTTCCAGCTTCCAATCCCATGAAATTCTGTGTGCCAGAGAAGTTTCTGCTGCATTGCGAAACAACTTGTACCCAAAGCTGTCAGAAACCAGGTATGTGACTGAGAGACGCTTGGACAATCCTGAGCCATCCCAAACAATGTCTACCTGGTATTCTGAAATGAATGCACACACACCATACGCCCACATTCTTCACCTTCCTCCCCCTCTTTGTAGAGTTCAGACCCCACAGACAAAATGAATACAAGATGAATACGCAAAGCACTGGGAGAGGGGTCAGTCACTAAATAGTAAATTTGCACCCAGGGATAGATGACTTTGCAGAAGTTCTCATAAGAACGAAAGATGTTCTCTCACCATCTTTTGAATGAGTGGTGACTTCTTGGGCTTGGGAGTAACAGTTTCTCCATGAAATCTGTGTGGTTTTCAGTGAGATTCCCCAAACATGGTTTTATAGATGGATTGATACCTACAATAATTTTCTCCCGAAAATATCTGTCAGCCTCCTCACAGGGCCAGTACTTGAGGTGAACTGGAGTCTAGATAGCCTCTCAAGATTCCCTGGCCCAAGAGCCGCAGATGAAAACGAAAACCAACCCTCTGCCCCTAACTCTAGGAAACATTCTAGAGCAGGGTTCACCAAACTTACTCATGAAGGTCTAGATATAAATATTTAAGGCTTTCTGGCCATATGGTCTCTATCACTACTACTAGAACTACTGTCTAGAACTACTCAGATCTACTAATGTATTCTGAAACCAGCCAGAGGCAATACACAAACAAAAGTGGGGGTGTGTTCCAATCAATCCTAATTTACAAAAGCAGACTCGTAAAGAGGAAGGGACTCTTACTACTCTGGAGAAATGTCAGTGCTGGGCAGAACCTGAGAAACCATCCAGACTACACTCTCCTTTCACAGATGGGAGAACAGCATCCAGGAGAGGCAAACGGCCATGTTAGTTGATGCCTGCCAGGTTGAGGGAAGGTAGGGTCTGCCTTTCAGCTGCGACGGTGTCCAGGCCAGGCACACACAGATGCACACTTCCTTCTCAGAAACACTGTTCTCTCTCCATCCTCTGACAACAGCTGCTTGGAGAAATGGCTGGAAGCACTCAGGATGAACCACTGCTCTCACTTCTCTATAAAAGGTCTGTCATGGCCACACTCAAGCCCAGGCCATTCCAACCCAGTTAGTTATGGAGGGCTACTAAATGCCAGACCCAATGCTAGCCTTTCCCACATGGGTCTCACCACATCCTCACAACAAGCCTATGGCAGGTGTGATAATCTTCTTTAACATATGAACAAAGGAAGGCTGGAGAGGTTAAGTCTGCTTCCCGGGCGGGGGCGGTGGCGGCTCAGTAGTAAAGAATCCGCCTGCCAATGCAGGACACTCAGGCGACATGGGTTCAATCCCTGGGTCAGGAAAATCCCCTGGAGAAGGGAAAGGCAACCCACTCCAATATTCTTGCCTCGGGAATCCCCATGGACAGAGGAACCTGGCAGGCTACAATCCAGGGGGTCGCAAAGAGTCAGACATGACTGAACACGCACACACAACTGTGGAGAAGTTAAGTAACTTTTCAAGAGCCCCCAGAGGGATATGGGCAGAGCCAGGACTTGCTTACTTCCCCAGACTGCCTCCGGTTTACTCCTGTTGATTCTAGAACTTAGTCAGGCCACCCATTGCTCCCTCCACCCATACCCAGTCTTGCCCAGACTCAAGGACCACCTCAAAGCTACTCCTTCCGTGACGCCTTCTCCTACCCTCTCTGTCCACCCATAGAGCAGAGAGTGTGGGCCGTGAAGCCTTCTCCTACCCTCTCTGACCACCCATGGAGCAGAGAGTGTGGGCCGTGAAGCCTTCTCCTACCCTCTCTGACCACCCATGGAGCAGAGAGTGTGGGCCGTGAAGCCTTCTCCTACCCTCTCTGACCACCCATGGAGCAGAGAGTGTGGGCCGTGAAGCCTTCTCCTACCCTCTCTGACCACCCATGGAGCAGAGAGTGTGGGCCGTGAAGCCTTCTCCTACCCTCTCTGTCCACCCATAGAGCAGAGAGTGTGGGCAACACAATCAAGCACCACAGCGTTCTCCTCTTGTCTGATCGCTGTGACTTCATGCGTGTGAGAATTTTCACCCAAACTCTGCTGCGAAGTCCTCAAAGGCAGCACCAGGTATATAACAGGTCCTTGAGATGTGCTTGCTATATGCCAAACACTAGGCTAAGCTCCCTAAGTATACCCTAATTTTCACAAAATGCCCCAGGAAGATGTTCTCAGCCACTTTGTGAATGAGGAAGCCACAGGTCAGAGAGGCTAAGTGCCTTGCCTGATGCTGGCCAACTCTGGCACACTGGCCTGATCAGAGATGAGTCCCTGGGAGGGGAGGGATGGGGTGGTGTATATGAGAACGTTGTACCTTGGTCTTCAGAGTCTAAGTTCTTTCCACCCAAAAGGAATTGTACTTTAATAAGCTGATTAACCTGAAGCCAAAGCAATAAAGTCTTAAGGTTAGGATTCAGATGCACCAACAGCTGAAGAGAGATTCATAGAACAGGAATCCTCTCCAATGTCTTCCGACAGCCTCAGCTCAACCCTGCCCAAATCTGTGAAAAGTCTCCCAGAATTTGTAAGTTAGTGGGAATGTGACCTCTTGTGATCATGTTTATGTCTCTTAAAAACTTACCTTTGCATCTCGGACTTCTTTCCCCAAACCCTTGGACAGAATATCAGCATACTGCGGCACAGTCAGCGCTTCTGCACTGAGACCCACGGCCTTGCCTACAAACTCCTCTGGAGAATTAAAGATGCTGCAGACGATGGCTCCGATATCAGCAACCGAGATACCATCCATTGGTACATCCCCCATAGGCAGTGCTAGTTTAAAAAATAAAAAGATAAAAATAGCTAATTACATCACACCTTTGGTAGGTCCCATCAATCTGAATTAATCAACCAGTTAAACAAAAGGTATGGGAATACCATGTAACACTGAGTCGCTACCATCCATGCAGTTATAAGGTTTGTTTGAGAAAATATCATAATACCTGGGTATTGACTAAAAAAAAAAAGAACTACCATTTACTAAGCATCTTCTGTGTGCAAAGTATGATTAATTGTTATGTCTAACCCCGACATCTCTGTGGAACTCCAGATGCATTTGTCCCACGTCCTACTCAGCATCCTTACTTGAATGTTTAATAGACATTAGAAACTCAGTGGGCCCCAGAATGAATTCCTGGACAACCTGCTTCTGCTACAAACTTCCTTCTCAGTTAATGGCAACTCTATGATTCCAGTTTCTCAAATTAAAACTCTTAGAGTCAACCTCGACATGTGTCTCCCATCCCAGATCCTTTTTTTTTTTTTTTTGTAGTCGTATTCATAGTGTCCAGAATTTGAAGACTTCTTGCCATCCTCACTGGTATTACCCTAGTCTAAGCCACCATCTGAGAAGAGCTAACTCGTAAAAGACCCTGATGCTGGGAAAGATTGAGGGTAGGAGAAGAAGAGGGTGGCAGAGGATGAGATGGTTAGATGATATCACCAATTCAATGCACATGAATCTGAGCAAACTCTGGGAGATAGCAAAGGACAGGGAAGCTTGGTGTGCTGTAGTCTATGGGGTCACAAAGAATCAGACACAACTCAGCGACTGAACAACAAAGCCACCGTCATCTCTGATTTGGATTATTGCAAAGTTGGGCCCCTTATTTCCAACTCTACTCCTGCCCTTCCACAGTCTCTTTTCAACACAAAAGTCAGAGTGATTCTGTAAAAACTAAAGTTAGCTCATGTCATATCTGCCCAGACCCCTCCAATGGCTCTCTGTGTCTCTCGGAAGAAAAGCCATAGCTTACAGGACCAGACCCTCTACTAGCTCTGGCCTCACCTCCTACTCCCCTCCCCAAGCCCCCAACCTGCTCCGATCCAACCACACTGGCTGTTCTGTCTGCCTGAAAATGTCTTCCCCCGAATATTCACAAAGCCAGTTACTTACCTCTATCAGAAGTTGCTCAGATGTCACCTTCTCAAAGAAGCCCACCAATCACCGAATTTAAATTTCATACACCACGCTTACTGCTAACACTCCACATACACTTTACTCAGCCTTATTCTTTAGAGCACTTATCACTTTCTAACATATAACACATTTTACTTCTCTATTATGCTTCTCTGCTATCCACCTCCTTGACCAGAATATGAGCTTAATGAGGGCAGAGCTTTGTCTGCTTTGAGTGGTTTATTACTGAATCCCCAGTAAAGTGAAGTAAGTGACTGGCACGTAGGAGGCCTTCAAATATTTATTGAATGAAATCATTAGCAAACATATTGGCTGGTTTAACCCTCAAAACAACCTTGAAACATAGGAATATCAGGGAGTTGCCTGAGGTTACTCAGCCAGCAAGCAGCAGAAGGGAACTCAAGCCCTCATCCATCACTCCGAATTCTGTGCCATTCCTACAGGTGGGTACAACCTCTCACAGATTCCCAGAAGCCCACACTCCTGAGGCTGGAACCCAATGTGGATGTGATCTAGCCCCAGCACTGTCATTTATTTAAACTGAAGAATCTAAGTCTACTGACTCACCCAGTGCCTTACAGTTAGGAAACAACAGGCCAGGACAAGAATCAAGGTCTCTGAATTCCAGTCCAGTGTAAAAGTGACTTAAGGTTTAGCAGCCAGGAACTAAATGTCACAGTTTGTCTTTTTGCAGCAAAATTAACTTCCTACCTGATTTCTGGGTAGGAAATATGTCTGCTCATTCCTCTGCATAAATTATAATTATAAAATATATAAATTATAAATTTATAAATATAAATAAATTATAAATTATAATTGTAAAAAAGCAGTCTCTGTTTTTTGAGGCACTCAGAATCAAGTCTATTCTGACTCTGAGGTTTGCTTTTATTTGAAGATTGAGGTTCTTGGACTGAGTTAAAAAGGTGCTAAGGGACAGTGGTATAAAAAAAATATGGTTCTGGAATTCTGTTCGCAGCCGGCCAGCGTCTCCTTTAGCTCTCCTAGCTCCAGCCAAAGGAGAAGGGGTTAAGTAAGACGGTCTCTATACCATGGCTCGAATGTAAGCTAATCAACCAGCAGTAAAGCACCGAGGAAGCAACTCACTACAAAAGCCGCTCGCAAGAGTGCGCCCTCTACTGGAGGGGTGAAGAAACCTCATCTTTACAGGCCTGGTACTGTGGCGCTCGGTGAAATGAGACCTTATCAGAAGTCCACTAAGCTTCTGATTCGCAAACTTCCCTTCCAGCATCTGGTGCAGGAAACTGGTCAGGACTTCAAAACAGATATGCGCTTCCAGGGTGCAGTTATTGGTGCTTTGCAGGAGGCAAGTGAGGCTTATCTTGTTGGCCTTTTTGAAGACACCAACCTGTGTGCTATCCATGCCAAACGTGTAACAATTATGCCAAACGACATCCAGCTAGCATGCCGCATACGTGGAGAACGTGCTCAAGAATCCACTAAGATGGTAAACATTTCATTCTTAAAAAAAGAAAAATTCTCTTCTTCCTGCTATTGGTAGTTCTGAACGTTAGGTATATTTTTCCAGGGGGTCAAAAGGTACCTAAGTATATGATTGCAAGTGGAAAAATAGGGGACAGAAATCAGGTATTGGCAGTTTTTCCATTTTCATTTCTGTGTGAATTTTTAATATAAATGCAGGACATAAAGCATTAATGAATGTGAAATGTTTCAGTGAACAAGTTTCAGCAGTTCAACTTTATAACAATTATAAATCTATTAAATTTTCTGGACAATGCCAGCATTTGGATTTTTTTAAAACAAGTAAATTTCTTATTGACTGCAAAAAAAAAAAAAAAGAACATGGTTCTGGAATTCTCTGGTGGTCCAGTGGTTAAGACTTTGCACTTCCACTGCAGGGGGCATGATTTCAATCCCTGGTTGGAGAACTAAGATCCCACTTGCCTCATGGTGTGACCAAAAAAAAAAAATTTTTTTTTCATTTTTTTTCATTTAAAGAGTACGGTTTTGGAGTCAGATTACCAGAATTCAAGTTCTGGTTCTACCTTACTATTGATCTTGGCAAAGTTAATCTAATAAGTGAGGCTTATCTTGTTGGCCTTTTTGAAGACACCAACCTGTGTGCTATCCATGCCAAACGTGTAACAATTATGCTAAACGACATCCAGCTAGCATGCCGCATACGTGGAGAACGTGCTCAAGAATCCACTAAGATGGTAAACATTTCATTCTTAAAGAAAAATTCTCTTCTTCCTGCTATTGGTAGTTCTGAACGTTAGATATATTTTTCCAGGGGGTCAAAAGGTACCTAAGAATATGATTGCAAGTGGAAAAATAGGGGACAGAAATCAGGTATTGGCAGTTTTTCCATTTTCATTTATGTGTGAATTTTTAATATAAATGCAGGACATAAAGCATTAATGAATGTGAAAATGTTTCAGTGAACAAGTTTCAGCAGTTCAACTTTATAACAATTATGAATCTGTTAAATTTTTCTGGACAATGCCGGCATTTGGATTTTTTTAAAACAAGTAAATTTCTTATTGACTGCCAAAAAACAAAAGAACATGGTTCTGGAATTCTCTGGTGGTCCAGTGGTTAAGACTTTGCACTTCCACTGCAGGGGGCATGATTTCAATCCCTGGTTGGGGAACTAAGATCCCACTTGCCTCATGGTGTGACCAAAAAAAAAAATTTTTTTTTTCATTTTTTTTTTCATTTAAAGAGTACGGTTTTGGAGTCAGATTACCAGAATTCAAGTTCTGGTTCTACCTTACTATTGATCTTGGCAAAGTTAATCTAATCTATCTGTGCCTCGGTTTTCCCATCTGTGAAACAAACACCAAACACCCAGTAAGTCCTCGGTAAATGTTAGATATTCCCTATGGTGAGGGGGGGCGGGGCGGTGGCAGGGAGCTATTCCCTATGGAGGGGGCAGTGCTTGACGGAAGGGAGAGGACGAGATCTCAGGGATACCTGAGGCTGGGTTTTACAGATGTGGGGAACTCACATGGGACTGGGTACCAGCAAAAGTTTAAAGCATCACCTCTTCACCTAGGGCCAATCTAATTCATAGATTATAATATCCTAGTTTAGAACCTGGAAAATGTCACGGGTGCAGGCTTCTGAAACCTGGTAGAGGCATAGGAAGAAGGGAAGGGGGGTGAAGAGATGTATCACATTTATACACTTATCTGGTCACTTGTTGAACTATTACCCAAGTCATCTGTGACATGTGGCAGGTGCTCCAGGCTCTAGCTCAGATCTACTTTGCCACTAGTTATGTCCCTGATCAGTCTTAATTACGTGCCAGGGAAGAAAGACTGCCTTGCAGTCACTGATTCTCTCACACTCCCTCCATTCCATAGAGCCACCCTGGACTATGAGCAAAGAAAATGTCCCCAAAGGGCAGGGGAGTGCAGGCCAGGGGACTGGCAGCATTGGAATTACCAGGAGTCCTGGTTAGAACTATAGTCTTGCAGGCCCCAGACCAGACTTATGGAACCAGGCTCTGCAAGCAGGGCTGGAAACTCATTCTGAGGGAGTCAGTGTCCCTCCAGGATTCTCCCATCTGAGTACTAACCAGCCCGACCCTGCTTAGCTTCTGAGATCGGACAAGCTCAGGTGCGTTCAGGGCGGTATGGCCATGGACCCTCTCAGAATTCTGACCCTGGGATCCAGGTCAAGAGAAGAATGTGTTCCCTGTGGCCACAGAAGGGCAGAGAGACGAGCTAGAAAGGAAAGTCATCTTGTCCAAGTTTCCTATTAGACGTGGGGAAACTGAGGCCTGAGGCCACGTGGCTCACTGCTTATATGAGGAGCATCAGTTGGATGAGACAGGAAGTGTAATCCTTGGTGTTTCCAGCCCAAGATCCAGCTCTCCAGGAAATCTAGGACAACGCAGGGCCCCTGTCGGCACTTCACCCAGAGCTGACCACACAGCGGGCACTTGGATGGCATGTGAAGAAAGGAAGGGTGGGAACAGGGGGCTGGGCAGGGGGAAAGCTGGTGTCAGGTTAGTTTCACTACAACCCTCCACATACCCAGGGTGTAGTAATCTCCATCAGAGGCCTTCACCGGCTTGAATGGGCCAAGAAAGTTTTCAAAGTAAGCTGCCACTCGGATGCTGGTCATGGGAATGCCAATGGACCAGAAATACTCCTCCACCTCTCCCTTCCCGTCAAAGTGTAGCACCTCCAGCTTGCTGTTTGTCAGGCGCTTGACGTTCTCCAGGCCACTGTACACCACGTGCTTCAGACCCTGGCTTTTGGCAACATCAGCCACCACTTTTCCCTGAGGGACAAAGGTAGAGAAGGTTATATTATAGAGAAGGTTGAATTTGCATGCAGACTGAGGGGCTGGTGCTGGATCCTCTACTCCCCCCCAACCCCTTTCTCTTATTGTCCTCCTTGGAGGGGAGCTTTCCCAGCCTCAGATCATAGGGGAGGCCACCAGGATCCAGGAGCAGAGGCTCCACTGTGTCAAAATGCTGAACCCATCTTCTGGTGCAAACAGTAAGGAATCGGCCCCTGCCTCTGGGTTGTCAGTAACTCTGTGATCCACTACCACATTATATATACATATATAAGAGGCTCAGGGATACCTGCGAAAGCAGTGTGAGATGTTTTCTGATGATAGATTATATCTGCTCACCATTTGGATACAGAGGGCAAAATGGAGGGAGATATACATATAATTGGTTTTTATAAACACACACACATACAAGCATGCATGGATGTACATATATTTTCTTTTTTGTAGTTTTAGTTCCAAATTTTTCAAAGCTCCTTCATCCTTCCACTCCCTCTCTTTTTTTTTTTTCCTTCTTTTCCTCACAAAACCCCATACCAGACAGACAAGACATAACTAATCTGGCTTAGGCTTAGAAAGTAAGACAAAATAAATGAAAAATAAAAATAAAAGAGAAAGAAAAATACAAAAAAAAGAAAAAAGAAAGAGAAATGACTTGTATCCCTACATTCCACAGTGAGTGAATATCAGAATTAGAACTCAAGAGTTCCTAAAATAAGCCCTTCCTAAATTTATCACTTAAAGACAAGCTGTAAGTGATGTAATTAACAGACATTCCTAAAATGGTTCAATCCTGCTCTTAATTTTTTGAATTTTACCATTTCTGAAAAAGTCCGATCCCACCCATTACATTACAAAAATCTAATCTTCATATTTTCTATTTAAACATATGTATAATTTGCAAATAGTACTGGCATGGTGGGGGGGGGGAAGTAGATTTTATAATGACAGAAAAGTTCCCTGTACCCCCCATGGTGATAACTACTTTCCAGAAATTCTATGGGCTCATGCCCAATAATATTCTACGTGCTCATTTTCATCTTTTAGCTGCTTCTTTATTTCTAAATAACATGTTTTACTGCTAATTCTTGATTTTTCACAGTTTAAGAAATCATCCAGTAAATTTCTACTATGACAGATGAGCCTCATCTTCAGCTCTCTCTCTCTCTCTCTCTCTCAGTGTCTCTGTCTCTCTCACATGGGCTTCCCTGGTGCCTCAGCAGTAAAGTACCCGCTGCAATGCAGGAGATGCAGCAGGAGAAGCAAGTTTGATCTTTGGGTCAGGGAAGATCCCCTGGAGAAGAAAACAGCAACCCACTCCAGTATCCTTGCCTGGAAAATCCCCTAGATAGAGGTGCCTGGTGGGCTACAGTCCACTGGGTGGCAGAGAGCTGGACACGTCTTAACAACCGAGCACAACAGTATTCTCACACACACAGCCTACCACCACTGTAACCATCACATACATACACAACTTCCTTTTTTTCATCCTCAGAATATCATATTTGGAGCTGCATCATTCATCAGGGCTAACAAAGGTGAAGCAGAGCCACGCTTCACCTGTTTTATGGTCACATTCACTTTTTCTACAAATTTTCATTTTCCCTGGAGTTCATCCTTGTGGCTCATTTGCTTGTTTGCTCACTTCTTTTCTTATGTACCCATTGCTAATTCATTTCCAAATTCTCTGCCAGAAGTCTAAACATAGTCCTTACATTTGTTCTTCCCATTTCACTCTCAGAGTAATCTTAATTCATGGGATGTCCTTGCTGCCAACGCTCACATGCCATCTATAACAAATGGTAAGAATCAGAGGCTCTAATAACTGGCTCCACTACATGACCACTCTCAGATCTCCAAGGTCACCTTTAGACAGAGGTCACATGACACTGATTTTACAATCACCTAACAATCCACCTGAAGCACATGGATTTCATAAATGCCAGAGAGAAGTGATGGGGTGAGGCCCACCCCCTTCCAGGGAGGGCAGCATGGGCAGGCAGGAAAAAAGAAAGGGCTTTTGAAGGTGGTTCCCACCTGACACACTTCTTTCTCTTTGCTGAAATGTTCCCAGGTGTTGGTTACCAGGAAGGCCCCATAGGCTCCCTTCAAGGCAGCCTCCACCGATGCTTTGTCATTCAGGTCCCCTTTAACCACCTCGGCCCCAAGGTCCTGGAGCACCTGCGCCTTTGGTTGGGTCACGTCTCGAGTCAGCGCTCTCACCACATACTTTTTGCTTTCCAGCATGGCCCTGGCCACAGAGCCGCCCTGGGCTCCTGCAGAATTGGGGGAGAAAAAATACAGAAAGAATCAGGAAGAATGTTCACTAAAAGAAGCTGGGCAGGGAATCCCATTACTCAGAGTAAAACTGCTGCTGTAACTGCTTCAGGAGGCATTCCCATGGCTTGCAAGAGTGGTTTCAAATTAGGTTTCTCACAGCGTTCTCAGAGGTAGCTTAGCAGAAGCCATGGAGGAGAGAAAGAATGGGGGGCCCGGAGGCAACTGGGAGACCAGGAGAGCAGGGGACTAGACCCTCCACCTCAGAGTCCCATGGAATTTTGCAGGCAAGAATACTGGAATGGGTTGCCATTCCCTTCTCCAGGGGATCTTCCCAACCCGGGAATCAAACCTGGGTCTCCCACGTTGCAGGCAGATTCTTTACCATCTGAGCTGAAACAGAAGCCTTAACTGGTCACAGGTTTCATCTTCTAGGTTCTTAGTAGAATTTTACTTTCAAAAGAAGTTCCTATTCTATTATTTTTTTTAAAAGGTTGAAAACTTGCAGAAGTTTCTTTTTATGGTGTTCAGGACTGTTCATGATATGATCATCACTCACCTGATTTATCCACTCTACAAATGTTTACTGTGTCCTATGGGGGATGCCACATACTCTGCACATTCACTGATATTTGGGATCCTGCATCTAACTGGTCCCATATCGGTCCTGAATTTTGTGTGTGTGTGGTTCAAAATGCACCTTCCCTTCTCTCTCCTGCCTAGCGCCCTGAGAGGCTGCCCTCTATGGACTCCATTAGTGGGCTCTTTTGCCTTCAGTCTGGGTCTGGCCAGAGGAGGGCATCAACAGGGGACCCAAGGGTTGGAGCAGAGGTGACCCCTTCACATTGCTGCTCTTCCCAGGTTTTGGTCATCTCTCTTGTCCTCTGGTCCTTTCGTGTTGCTTACTTAGTCTTTCTGTTCTTTCCCATCTTTACTAAATTTTCTCAACTTCCCTGAGAGAGTGTGGCACTTCTTTTTGGGGGTACCCCAACTGATAGACCACTGATGATCCTATCAGCCTGCCGTTCAGTGGGCTTTGCCTTTGGACCCTTAGCCAGTTTTGTACTCTTGTACTGAATATGAACGGATAGCCAAAGTTCATCAGATGTTCAAGGAAAGCCTCCAACATAAAAGGTAAAACCAAAATAAGCAAACTGATAAAAAAAAAAAGAAAAAAGAAAAGATAAAAAAAGGCAAGGAACAGAAGAAAATTTTTAAAGAATTAATATTCTCAGAGATTGGCAAAGATATTACATTGAGAACACTATTTCTGAAATGCAGTATCTATAAAAGTTAAAATTCAATTAAAAAAATCTGTTGGCCTTATTAGTTTGCTAGAGCTGCCATAACAAGATTCTACAGAATGGTGGCTTAAACAACCCATATTTTTCACACTGCTGGAGGCCAGAAGTCCATGAAAAAGATGTCCTCGGCTGGCTTGATTTCTCCTGAAGCCTCTCTCCTTGGATTGTAAAAAGAGAGGCTGCTCACTGTGTCTTCAAGTGGTCTTTCCTGTGTGTACTTGAGCCCCACATGTCTCTGGGTCAAACTTCCTTTTTCTAATGAGAACAGCAGTCAGATTGGACTATGGCCCACTCTTATGGCCTCACTTTAACGGAACCAACTCTTTAAATGACCTCTTTAACAATAGAATAACACACTGTATATGTGCAAATAGTCACATTCAGAGATACTAGGGATTAGGGTTTCAACATATGAATTTGGGGAGGGACATGGTACAACTCAAAACACTGACCATTGTAATTATTTCCTTATAACTGAACTGTAACTTAAAGTTCACCTTGAAGACAAACTGTTTTACTCTTTATCCCTGTTTGCTAATCATGTTTTGAGATTAGTGCCTGGAACGCTTCAAGCTTTCAATATCTGTTTATTGAATGAAAGAATGAGTGAATGAAGGAAGTACAAATAATGAAACCTCTGTGCTCTGCATTCTCAGCTTTCAGGTGGACAGTCTTTGCCTGGACCCACATAAAATGGAAAAGGAAGCGATATGGACAAGTATGAAAAAATAAGAGGAGTTAAACCAAAACCAGGACTGGCTCTCCTAATCACACCCACTTTAATGTCTCATTAAGACTCAAACCAGGAGATGAATTCAACCATATTGGCCTTGCTCATGAAGGTGAGTCCGTGTAAAGAGTAGCATTTTAATGGCAGACACTGGAGATGATGCTCAAGAGTTTGACATTCAAACACATACACAAGTAAGGGTTAACACTTTCCCTATCACATTTAATTAGGCATCATGTATTTTTATTTGCCAAATCTAGTAACCCTTCCCCAAATCCCCTCTGGCTCTCCTAATCACACCCACTTTAATGTCTCATTAAGACTCAAACCAGGAGATGAATTCAACCATATTGGCCTTGCTCATGAAGGTGAGTCCATGTAAAGAGTAGCATTTTAATGGCAGATACTGGAGATGATGCTCAAGAGTTTGACATTCAAACGCATACACAAGTAAGGGTTAACACTTTCCCTATCACATTTAATTAGGCATCATGTATTTTTATTTGCCAAATCTAGTAACCCTTCCCCAAATCCCCAAACACACACCCACAACTCAAAGGTTATTGAACGAAGGATTAAAACTGGGCAGTAAAGCAATCAGCACACCTCCTCAGCCAACTGCAAGTCAACTTTCTTCAACTTTAACACATCTAACCTGATTCCTTTAGGAGCCACTCCCAAGGCTCAAGGTCCTACTTTGAATGCCTAGGCAGCAACTCAAGTGTAGAGAGACTGAAACAGAGTTCCTGACCTGTCTTGACCTGCTCTCTCCAGGTCCTTCCCATTTCAGTGAATCGCAACTTTACTCTTTCAGTTGCTCAAGCCAGAACACTTAGGAGTCATTCCTTCCCTCTGATATCTGACCCATCAGGGAACCAAGTCAATGCTCCTTCAAACATATTGGGAATCTGACCACTCCCTAGTCTAAGCCACTGTCAGTCATGCCTGGTTTAGGGCAACAGCCTCATAAGTCTCCCTGCTTCAGCCCTTGCCCCCTACAGCTTCTTCACCAAACAGATGTCAACAGGACGCTTTAGCACCAAGTCTTATCATGTCACAGCTCTGCTCAAAACCCTTCAGTGACTTCTCTCTTTCAGGAAAAACCAACAACACTATTGCCCTAATATGATATACAATCATCCCCTCATCTGATTACCTTTTGTTTCCTTTTTAAGTCAGTGTCATACCTGCTCTTGGGGTTGTTTTGGGGGCAGTGTGGGGAGCTGCTGTGCTGGGTCTTCCCTGCTGTGTGGGCTTTCTCTAGTCCAGGCTAGTAGGAGCTACTTTCTGGTTGCAGTATGAGGGCTTCTCATTTTGGCGCCCTCTGTTGTTGCGGAACACAGGCTCTGGAGGGTACAGGCTTCAGCAAGTGAATTTAGTTGCTCTGTAGCATGTGGGTTCTTCCTAAACCAGGGATTGAACTGGTTGGTGTCTCCTGCATTGGCAGACAGATTCTTTACCACTGAGCCACCTGGGAAGCCCATGGCTGTTGGTTTTTTGAGAATTTACTTTTCTTTTCTCCCCACTTTAGCACTTGCCTCCCTTCAGACAAAACCCCTGTCCTCATAGAGCTTCTATCCTAGGGTGGAGAGAAGGTGGTAAAGGAAGAAATCAAGCAGGAAGGGAGTCAGACGGTGGCAGGGTGGAGTGAAGTTGCCATTTTGAAAAAGGAAGTCTGGAGAGCGGTCATGGAGAGGGCTTGGAAGACATGAGAGAGAGAGCATCGTGGGTGACGAAGGAAGGAAGATTATTCTAGGCTGAGGGAGCAGCCAGTGCAAAGAGCTTAAGTTGGGAGTGTGTTTGAGGAGCAGGCAGAGTGAGAGAGGGAGAATGGCAGAGGAGGAAATGGGAGAAGGGTCTTGCAGACCAGGAGTCGGGCTTTCATTTCACTTGAGTGAGGTAGGGGGCCGCTGTTGGGGGATTTTGAGCCGAGACCTGCCATGATCTGACAGTTTCAAATAGATCATCAAAAGGCAGAAATGAGAACTGACAGACGGAGAGTGAGCTGACTGAAAGATTTTGGAAAGATAGGTCTAGCTGTTGGGAGAACAGATTGTGAGGGAGGCAGAGTGGAAGCAGAAATGCCAGTGGCAAGGTTCAGGCAGCTGTGCGTGAGAGAAGTCCGGGCATGTGTTCTCCTAATCCCCACCCACGGAGAAGGCAATGGCCACCCACTCCAGTACTCTTGCCTGGAAAATCCCATGGATGGAGGAGCCTGGTGGGCTGCAGTCCATGGAGTCGCTAAGAGTCGGACACGACTGAACGACTTCACTTTCACTTTTTCTTTCATGCATTGGAGAAGGAAATGGCAACCCACTCCAATGTTCTTGCCTGGAGAATCCCAGGGACGGGGGAGCCTGGTGGGCTGCCGTCTATGGGGTCGCAGAGTCGGACACGACTGAAGCGACTTAGCAGCAGCAATCCCCACCCACTCCATCCTCTCAGAGTCCTTCCAGCACTGATCAGGATGTGGGTATCTTCTGCATGCCCATGGGCCGCTCACATTTGCTCCTTGTGCTTATCAAGAAGCGAGTGGAGAAAAGTCTGTAGCAGATAACTTGTGCTGAAATGAGACTTACACCAACAAATCAGCCCATGATCAAGAACAAGAGAATATGTTCGATGTCCTTGTGCCTCACAAATCATTTCTGCACAAACCAAGTCAAATCACCCTGCCCCCTTTACCACATCAGAAATGCAAGCAAATGATAAACTTTTCTCAATTTTCTCCAAAGGGCTCTTTGTTCAATCTATGCTTGCAGGTTCTGAAGTTAAAAACAGGAAAACAAGAAAGTAACCCAAGTCAGCATACACTTTTAAAGTAGGAAGCTTTTTACCTGTTGCTCCAAACACTGCAATTATTTTCTTGTTGGTCATGTTATTAAACAGAGAGTCAATGCAGCAGCAGTACTTTCCTCCAAACAGCGACAGCAGCTGAAATGCAGTTTCTGTTGAGTGTGAGAATTTTAAACCTTTCTGATTACCACACCCATCATGGATGATGTCCCTCCCTTGTAAAAACTTTTGTTATCACCACCTAACTCACTCACTCTGACACAGCAATTTTCTAAAGGAGATTTCATTTATTAACTTACTCATGTGTTCAGCAAATGTGCAGTGAGTACCTTTGGTACACTAGGCACTGAACTAGAGGCTCTGGTAAGGGAGACAGACTAGTAAGTAAAAGAAAAGCAGAGAGAAATGCAGAGGGAACGTAGGTCCTGGAGGGAAAACACAAAACCCAGAACGGTGGTGTTAAGGAAGGCTTTTGAGGGAAGATGTTGCTGGAGCTGGCCTGAAGACCCCATGAAAGCGTTCAGTTAGTGAGAGCAGGAAGAGAGACCATCCCAGGCAGGAGGAGCCACACATAGTCAAGTTCACAGGCGGGGTAATCATGACAAAGGGCTCAAGATGGCTGCAGCAATGCTACTTGAATGGTGGGAAGTAAGACTGGGAAGGATGACAGAAGGCAGAGGACAAAGGGCTGGTTTGTGGATTTATCCTGGCAGCCACAGCAGGTTTTAGCTGATCCTCTGGCAGCAGAGTGGAGGATAGGTTGAAAGAAGATGATGCTGGAAGCAGGGATTCCCCTAAGGAGACAAATAAGAAATGATACAGTTGAGAAATGACAAAAGCTTGAATGGAGGCGATATTTTGGGTTAAATTGTGCCCCTCCAAGATTCCTGGGTTGAAGTTCTACCTCCCAACACCTCAGGATGTGATATTATTGGAGAGAGAGTATATACAGAGGTCCAGTCAAGGTAAAGTGAGATTAGAATGTGCCTAATCCAATATGACTGATCTACTTATAAAAAAGGGAAATTTGGAGATTTCTCTGGTGGTCCAGTGGTTAAGACTGCGCTTCCATTGCAAAGGGTGTGGGTTTCATCCCTAGTCAGGGAACTAACATCCTGTACAATATGGCCAATCAATCAACCAAGAGAAAGTGGGAAATTTGAACACAGAAGGAAGACAATGTGAAAATTCAAGGAGAACGGCTCGTGAACTTTAAGGTGGCCATCCACAAGCCTAAGAGAGAGATCTGGAGTAGATCCTTTCCTCACAGCCTATAGAAGGAATCAGACCTACCCAGCTCTGGACTTCCAGCCTCCAGAACCATGAGATGATAAAGTTCTGTAGTTTATTCAACCCACTTTGTGGTACTTTGGTGCAGCGAGCCTAGCAAGCCAACAGAGGCATGACAATGGGGGTGAAGAGAAAGATATTCAGGAAGTAAAGTAAGAAGGCCTTTATGATTGATTGGATGGGGGAAGGGAAAGTGAGAAAGGACTAAAAATGGCTCTGCCAACTGGAGGGGTTGGCAGTGGGGGAACAGTAGTGGGGCTCAGGGGGAAATGAGCTCAGAACTAGACCTTTGATTTTGGGGCTGCAGCTGGTTGAGAAACTGGGAGCTGAGGGAATGACAAATGCAAATGTACATGTCGCCTTTAAGGAAACTTGCCATAAAGGAAGTAAGAGTAAACTGTGGTTATAAGGTACAATGAAGTTTCATTTCAGTAGGAAAGACTTGAACACATTTGTGGATTAAAGGTGGCTCCCTCCTTCCCCCCATTCTCTGCTTTATTTTTCCTGATAACGTTTATGACCTGACATGTTACAGGCATGTTTATTTGCTCGTATGTTTATTTCTGCTCCCTGCTCCCCACAGCTAGGCTGTTTTTGTTTTATTCACTTGCATGTATCTCCAGTGCCTACAGCTCTATTTGGCTCATGGCAGGTGCATGTTAAATATTTTTTGAATGAATGAAAGAATAATTGGTAGAGTTAGGTCACTGGGAAAGCTGTAGGGCACAAACTTTGCATCACAGATGAAGAGGAGCTGAAAATAGCAGATACCACAGGATTACCTGGAGCCCTCTGCCAAAAGGCTGTGAAGATGGATCCAAAATAGGGAGCAACCTGCCCCTTGCCTGCAGCCTGTCTGCCCCTTGCCTTTTCCTTCACCCTCCTGCTCCTATCACCTGCTCCTACCTGTTCATCCTTGTGAGAGGAAGCATTTCTCCCACTCACCCCCCTGTAGAGTATAACCCACAAGGAAACAAAAAGGTAAATTCTGGAGTTGCTACAGACTGGAAGAGTTGATCATTCACATCCTTCCATTTCCTGTCGCAAGAAAGATATATGACACTTCTGCTACCCTACACTACACACAGTTTTACCCTAGCCACATGGAGAGTTCTCAGTGCCACTACAAAGATTTATTATATTCAAGGAAGTTTATCCATGGCATTATTTGTATTAAAAAAACACCTGGAGACAATCTAAATGACCACTACGCTGTTTTTCAGTCGCTCAGTCATGTCGGACTCTCTGTGACCCCATGGACTGCCAGCACGCCAGGCTTCCGTGTCCTTCAGCTTCTCCCAGAACTTGCTCAAACTCAAGTCCAGTGAGTCGGTGATGCCATCCAACCATCTCGTCCTGTGGGAAAAAAAAGTTAGCTTTTTAACTAAGCCAATCCCTACCAGGGCAAGTAGCAACCCATTAAGAGACTAAGTGTTCAAACAGAAGTCAGTGATGCCGTTTTCTTTGTAATTTGAAGGCATCCTAAGCTGATGTCTCAATATTTATTTAGGGTCCCCTTGATAGGAAGAGTTTGTTTTTTCGGTCTGCCCAGCCAAGAGAAGGAGAGAATGGGCAGGACTCTGCTGTCAACATTCAGCTGTGCACTCCCTCGCCTATGTTTGCTTCTTACTTCCAAGTGTGATTAACCCAACCCAGTAAATCCACAACTAGAAAGCTGTGCAACACGTGACAAAAGCTTTAGCGTATGACCATCCCAATCCTACCTCTTGGACACTTTGTAAAATTTCCCTAAACTTCAGTTTCTTCATCTATAAAATGGAGTGGGGGGGGGGGGGAAGAGGGCAGTGATTGTAGTATCTCCCTCCTATAGATGTGGTGAGGATTACATGAAATTAAACTACTTAGTCTTCCCAGGTGGTTCAGTGGTTAAGACTCCACACTTCCATTGCTGGGGGCACAGTTTGGGGAACTAAGATCCTGCATGCCATGGGGCCCAAAATAAAATTTAAAAATAAATAATAAATAAAAACAATGGAAAGACAAGCCATGCAATCTAAGTCAGAGGCCCCAGCTCCCATGGTCCTGACTGGGGGTGGCAGAGAAATGCCATAAGGAGGAAGCAAGTGAGGACACCTCCTTAGAAAAATTCTTGGATTATCAGGAGGAATTGCCTGGGCGTGGGGAGAGGATTCTGGAAATTTAATACTGTTTTGTAATCACTCATTCAGCTTCTCACTTTGGCATGCTGATGTGGTCTGAGAAGATTTGTGTTACACTTAAAAACTCGGTCATTCGGCAAGGTAGCAGCATACAAGATCAACATTCAGAAATGGGTTACATTTCTTTACATTAACAATGAAATATCAGAAAGGAAATGTAAAAACAAAACTAAAATTCCTTTTTAAATTGCATCCAAAAAAAATACTTAGGAATAAACCTGATCAAGGAGGTGAAAGATTTTTATGCTGAGAACTACTAAACATTTTTTAAAATTTATTTATATTAGTTGGTAGCTAAATACTTTACAATATTGTAATGGTTTTGCCAACTACTAAACATTTAATAGAGGAAATTGAAGATGATTCAAAGAAATGGAAAGATAGTCCATGCTCTCAAATTGGAAGAATTAATAAAGTTAAAATGGCTATACTACCCAATGCAATCTACAGATGTCTTTTGATCCATGTCAGAAAACTCAGTCCATTCTTCGTGTGTGTGTGTGTGTTAGTTGCTTAGTCGTGTCCGGTTCTTTGAGTCTTCTTTTAATGATGCCAGCCCTATAAATATTCTGATGAGGACAATATTAACATTAAGATATTCCATCTTACCCTAGCAAACCAGCAAAAGAAAATAATATCAGAAAATCCTCTGGTTGTCCAGTGGTTAGGACTCTGTGCTTCCAAGCAGAGGGCTTTGGTTCTAACCCTTATTTAGGGAACTTTCTCCTGAGACACACAGCACCCCCCAAAGAAAGTCTGATGTGATGTGTATCAGAAGACAAAGCAAGTTTTCCTTTCTTTCACATCTTTCCAGTTCAGAAAATGTATTCCTGTATGCCACACTTTGTTTTCTGTATCTTCTTCTACATTTTCACAATGACACCTCTCCAACTACTAGCAAATGTTTAAAGGAAACAATAAAAAGAAAACACCTAGAGGAAAATGTAAAGGTATGTTAATTTTATTCAGGATGAAGACTTTTTCAGTCTATATGTGATAAAGAAATTCCTAACAAAGAAAATCTGCAGCTCTGACTACAAGAAAATTTAGAATGTCTTGTGGTTGATACAAACTGGGATAGCTGCCCAGCTCATAATTTCCCATTGACCATTTTTGTGCCACTGCTTCTTTTCTTGGTAATAGACCTGCCTCCCAGCATAGGCATGTAACCTAGTCTAGCCAATTATAGTGTCTCTTTCTTCCCACTTCCTATTCATTTTTTTGTCTATTAATTCATTCCAAAACTGTTTCTGGAGTGAGGATTCAATGATGAACAAAATATCCCTACATTTTCTTGAAGCTTTGGATTTAGGGAGAAATAAGCATTCATCAAACACTTATGCTAATAAACACATAATTATAAACAGAAATATGTTCTCTGAAGGAGAAGAACATGGGTCCATGAGAACTATAAAGAAAGCTGAGCACAGAATTGATGCTTTTGCACTGTGGTGTTAGAGAAGACTCTTGAGAGTCCCTTGGACTGCAAGGAGATCCAACCAGTCTATCCTAAAGGAGATCAGTTCTGAGTATTCATTGAAAGGACTGATGTTGAAGCTGAAACTCCAATACTTTGGCCACCTGACGCGAAGAGCTGACTCATTGGAAAAGATCCTGATGCTGGGAAAGATTGAGGACAGGAGAAGGAGA